TATTCTTTTGTATTGTGTGTTTTTTTCTATGCCAGATTAGATTGCCTTAGAGACCGGATTGGTTATGTGAAGGTAGGAGTAGGAGTGGTCTTGCTTGCAACAATGTTCTCTCTGAAACTGATATCTCCAAGGTGTGAGGTATAGTGCATTTTTTTCATGCACTATTTGTCGGCATACACAGAAATATGTTCTTTATGGTCCTTATATTTTTATGATCCAAGCTTCTTATCTTGTCACAAATTTGAGGTATTTCCAGGGTCCCTGCTCAGTGTTTAATAAGTCGGGAAACCATTTGCCATGCCAATTAATCACTTAGCTGCATAGGAAAAGTCTGGGTGAATTTGCCAATGGTAAATCCTCTTAGTTATCCAGTACAGACATCTCTATCCTTGTATCTGAATGAAGTAGACATCTCTATCCTGTATCACTTTTTATGGCCTTGCATAGAAGGGCACATATTATTTCTACTACGTTCTATTCATCAAAAAACGTACAAAGGCTCAACCAGGTTCAAAAGGAGAGAACATAAATTCCATCTCTTCACAGAAAAGTGGCAGGGCCAGAAGGAGCATGTGCTATTGAAACTATTCTTGCAGTCATTTCTGAAATGTGAGCTTGCACAGTTCCTTCTCTCATAACAAAAAATTCACATTCTGCCTCCATGCAAAATACACTCTTCCCAAACCCATTAAAATCTTGCCCTGTGACATCATTTGCCTTAGCTTAAAGGTCTAAGGACCTTGTTGTTTATGGCAGATCCAGGTGTGAATGAATCTTCTCAACACAAAACTCTGGCTTTTCAGCGCAGGTCATTCAGTACCATCTTTCTCCCTTGGGAGATGTGTGATCTAAAGACACATGTATTTCTGCAAACACACAAAAACATACACTGGTGGAATTAACATAAGAAAACTTCTCTAGATACACCCCTGAAAGAGGAGATACCACAACAATCAGTGACCCACACCAATTCTGGAATCCCATTGCACACATGTGTTCCTTATTTAACTAAGGCATTGACCCACTGGGAATTATACTGATGAAAGATTTTCCACAGTTCTTGGTTCAACCCGCTGGACTTTTTATTTGTGTTCTGAAGAACACTTTCCTTTATGTAAAACATATCCATTGTTTATAGTTTCGTAGTTTCTGCAGTCTTTTTGTCCACGACAGTATGGCAGTCCAAACTACTCTCCATTTTGTGCTATCCCAGATTCTTTAAATCCAACTGGATTTGAGTCCTTTGATTGCCATTTGGGTTGACTGTGAATTAACACCTTAATGTGGTTTCCCGGTGTTGCCTGGACTTCTTCACTTAAAGGTGTTCTGGCAAGAGCCTCCACTAACATCCTGCTCAGAGTTAGCATTGACTCTATAGCCAAGCTTTCAGTTGATTACAGTTTTTGGCCTTTGAGGCAACACAGCTTTTGCAGAATGGAGAAATGGGGAACCATACCTTCTGTGTTTTTTCCAACTTGTGTATTCATGAGTAAGACAAATGTTGTCCCTTCCAGTGGTTCTCAACCTTCTGGCCCTTTAAATACAGTTCCGCATGTTGTGACCCAACCATAAAATTATTTTCGTTGCTACTTCATAACTGTAATGCTGTTACGGTTATGAATCGTAATGTAAATATCTGATATGTAGGATGGTCTTAGGCGACCCCTGTGGAAGGGTTGTTCAACCGCCAAAGGGGTCGCGATCCACAGGTTGAGAACCGCTGCTACATTTTAGGATGATTGCTTATGCAGTGATAATTAGAATGATATCTAATTTAAGATATCTTTAAATATCTCCTCATCAATTCACAAAAATGAATTAATTGATAAATATTAGAAGTAAATTTGAAATTTTATTAAATCTAAATTATTCAGGTGATTAATCATGGCAGTATAAAAGGCTACAAGTTCTAAGAAATGTTTCCCTGTATGGAAATTGGGATCATCTTTTATTACTTTGCAGGAAATTACCCATGATTCATTCATTCAACAATGTAGTATCAACAGACTGGGAGAGTATAATCATTTCTTGATTGTAACTCTTTGAGCACAATGGAGGGACTTTAAAGTATTTTAAAAGTAACATTGTGCTTTTATAGGTGATGTGTTCATAAATTTTGAAGGAGTTTTCTCCACTGGGTAATTTAGCCAGCTTATTATTTTTTATTGTTTAAACTTGTAAATCTCTAAGTTGTGGCTCTGTAGGGTAGTTATTTCTTAAGTAGAAATAACTATCCTCTCAAAGAAATTTAGTTCCTCATTGCAGAGTATGGTTAAAGTAAAATAATCCCCTAACCTTTACTAAATAATGTAAAGGAAACCACCTCCACTGAATTTCGGCACACTTTATTAATTGTGTTTTCGAGTTAGATAAAATTTTATTTTACTTATATTAAATTTTATTCTATTCCTCAATTAGATCCACAATTTGATCATGATCACAAATATTGATTACTAAAGACATTTTAAAAGCTCTCAGCATTTGCTAGGCACTGCTGTAAATGCTATACATCTATGTTAATATTCTTTGCAGATTTGATTCATGAATTTGAAAGTGGTCAAAAACATATCTGTGTGTGTCATGTGACTGATACTCATTCTGTTTTCAAGTATGATGTAGGTTTTAAGGGATGGACTTTGGTGTCAGACATATGTGAGATAATAAGTTTCTTTGTTCTATACCTTCTTTGTAACTATCAGGAAGTTATTTCATTTTTCTTAGTCTCAATATGTAAAGCTACCAGATCGAGGTAATAATACATGATTCATAGAATCAAATGGAATAATTTAAGTGCTCTTAAAATGAGGACCATCACACACTGAGATAAATAAAACTCTTAGAACATATTCCAGGATATGTACAAGCTTAATTAATTATGTAAATAAATTAAATATGGTATAGAGGCCTATATATTATTTTATAGACTGAATGTGTCTGCTGAAACCCAAGTCTGAAATAAAAGATGTTTAAAATTTATTTATTTATTTATTTACATAATTAATTAATACATATGTCTCCTTTTTTCCCGCTTGACCTCCTCCCCCTGCAAGCCATTCCCACTCCAGGCAAGCCCCCAACACCCCAGTGTCTGTGTCCATTGGTTATGCTAATATGCATACATACAAGTCCTTTGGTTGCTCTCTAACCTTCCCAACTCCCCTGCCATTTGTCTCTGGATCTATTCTTTTTCATCAAATTATGTTGATCATTATATCCCACATATGAGTGAGATCATGTGATATTTATCTTTCTCTGACTGGCTTATTTCACTTAGCATAA